AACATTCAAAGTCAGAGTCGTGCAAATCTTGGGTTGGACCCCCATGATGATCCCAAGCATCACCTGCATTCCATGCGGTAGCTATTGGTGCGTTTGGGCGTCACATGTAACTGGAAATGTTTCTTCTGTTAGGTTCTATAGTGACTTTTTTCGTAGTCATTTGCATATTTTAGTATTATGCCCCCAAAATCAAATATTAGCATGCATTTAGTTTTTAGTTCGTTGACCATCATCGAATTGTGGCCACACCAGTTGAGTAAGATATCAGTATCACGTTGCAATTTAATTTAAAGATCATTTAAATTGGTAGCTGACGAATAGACTGTTGTATCATCCGCAAATAAATCACAGAATGACTCTAGATGGAGAGGAAGATCATTTATGAAAATATTAAATAATAATGGTCCTAAAATAGATCCCTGTGGAATACCAGAAGTAATTGGTTGAAGTTGAGAATATTGTCCGTTTGCGAAAGTACACTGATTACGGTGGTCCAGGTAAGAATGAAATAAGTTCAGGAAGTTATCAGAAAGTTGATAGTAACGACATTTGTTCAACAAGATGTTGTGATTAACAAGATCATAAAATTATGTGGTACGGTTTTACCTATATTTCAATGGGAATTGGTCCATGTTTGTAAGCTACATGTATGTGCAGTGCCAGTACACGTTGGGATCAGTTTAATTGGAAATTAAGAGAGTTATTAGGCCAGTTACTTTTTTGTCATCAAATGACTGCAAAAACTGCTCAAAAGAATCCCTTAGAAGGAACTACTAGTGTGGCTGGAGCAAGACCCTAAGCCCTACTACTATAGCTACGTACTATAGGCTTATCCAACAAGTTAGATGTTACTCTTTGAATATTTGATACGTGTGAACGAAACCTCAAGACACCCTGGAGTAGGCCTATACTAGTGCCTGGAACCATTTCTAATAATAAATTTCATTATCATCTGCTCGCGTTGAGAATATCGCCAGACTGTGGAGAAAGTACGATGATTAGTGGTTTGCTGGACTGTCACAGACACACTTCAACGTACATATACCACATACCGATCGGTTAAACACAGTCTGACTAATATATATATAGTAACATACAGTTAGTTTTCTTTCACGTTTTTTGTCACAAGTTCTGTATTTCCATCTGAAAAATGGGCGTGGATCATCAAAATGACCCGAAGGAAGAACGGAAGATTGGTTTAAACAATATTTTTATTTCAAGTACATAAAGATTATTTACAACACCGATGTAATGGATTAGAAAACAAGCCGAAGCTTATATAAATTCCTCTCCACTACGCTAGATCGGAGACGGTTCTGCGCATTTGACATCATATGTACGTGTGGATTGCGCGTTAGGGTTATTAGGGCAAGGGTTAGGCTTGGTCCAGGGTTAGGCTTAGGGTTAGCGCTAGCCCTTTTTACATCTCGAGCCTTTGACGAAATCTGCAGACCCTAACCCTTACCCAAACCCTCACCCACAATCCACCTATGACGACATATGTGCTAATATTTTTATGAGCAGGACCGTCTCCGATCTAGTGTTTCCGAAGATCTGACCAGTTGTACTGGAAGGTCGTGCAGGGGTCATACAAGCGGCATTTGACCCCATGACGCCAGACATTGATTAGCCAATCAGCGTTGACGTTTTTAGGGGTTTACCCACAGTTCCGTGCTGCACAATAACGACAAGAACTCGCCGTAACATACCGTTTCATTGGCTAATTCTTCACATCAACTAGAACGCGTGTTATATAACAACACTTCCAGATACTTGTTTAGTAAAGACAAGTAAAACGAAATCTTGTAATATAAAAAACGAAACGAAATAGGATCTGCGTTTTATTAGAATGTGTGGAGTTTAGTTTTCGAACACATACAGTTGGTGGTTTCCAAATTTGATGCTATATATACATTTATATTTGAAAATTTTCACGCTTGCAATATATCTATAAATAGAAATGGTTTCACTACCAATGTCTTCCGTCTTGCTCCAGCTTAGTGGGTCGTCCTAAGGCCTTCCTATGAGCAAGTTGTGTAGTCATTTGACTACAAAAAAGTTACTGCCTTTTACTCCCTTAATTTCCAATTACACTAACCCCAAACTGTACTGTACATAGCTTAACATATAATAAACCAATTCCATAGAAATGAAGGTGAAACCTTACCGCATACATGTAATTAAATGATTTGATTAAACCCAACTGTCATGCGAAATTTCTGTTCATTATAGAATGGCTACGGAACAAGAATCACGTGATTTCATGTCACTCGAAAATACAGAAAAACTGTTCGGTAAGATAAGATTAAGATTTCAGTGTTCCACTGCTCCTTATTTGTAACATAATTATTTATTTCCATGCAAACTGTGATGATATGTGTTGAAAAATTGCAACTGAACCTAATTTCACTTGCGCAAAGCCCCGAATAGTGTATCAATTGTAGCTGCCGGTAAGACATGACGCGGGTACAATATTGTGGCACATGTCTATATGAACAGCCCAAACACACTTGTTATTGTACTTACGCTGTTAGCACACTCTTCCGAACTTCGCCCCCCCCCCCCCCACACACACACAAATAGTAATTGTTCTTTCATAAATATGTATTATAATATAGAGAATAAGTTATCTCCATCTTCATTTTCTATTAAGATGATGCATATTTCGTATTATTAATTTGGGTTTAGAAGAGTCGCATTCTTAAATATAGATGGAATCCCGCAAATAGAATTATCAATACGGGTAGGTGTTATACGTAGGATATGGTATCTAGGATATAGTATGGTAATATACAGGTATCTTGGAACACTATCTGCCATACTTAATGTACATTATAATAGTAACTAAATATACCATTTGTCTTAAAAGAGAGCCGAGGTGACTCAGTGAGTAAGACGTTTGGCTCGCTAACCTGGAGGTCCCGTGTTCGACCTCTGCGTTGGCCGAGAAAGCTCATTGGGATTTTCCGGCGTGTTTCTTCCATGACAGTGGTGTAGGACAGAGGGCCTGGCAAGACATAACATATAGTCGTTCGGATAGGACAAACCCGAGGTTCCGCGTACAAATTAGCGTGCACCTGAAAGACCCCTTGACCGTTGGAATTCGATATAAGAGTAGGTCGTAGCGCCGCTGTCCGAGCAAAATTTCTCTCATAGCACACTGTATGGCGAATGTCCGTCTGTATTAGCCCAGTCGGAGCAGAACAAGACGTTAAACCCATTTCATTTCATTTTGTCTAAAATACATTGACCTCAATCAAAACCCAGATCTACACTCTAGCGCCCGCCAAACACACCCGCCCCCACCACCCCACCCCCATTTCTTCTTGGACAACTTGAGATTTTTTTCAGTGATACATTTCCGGTCGTTCGGGTGGAACGAAATCCCGAGGTCTCGCGTAAACGTTGTCGTGGACGTAAAATTAGCCTTGCCAGTTATGAGGAATCCGTAGCACCGTTCGCTGTCAGGGTAAAATTTCCCCCATAGAACAGTGCATGATATGCCCGTCTTCACTAGCACCGGTTGGTGCAGAAGAATGGGACGTTAAACCCATTTCATTTTGATTTTTAAAATAACCTCATAACAACCAGTTGTTACTATATGTTTATTAATGGTGCTATTTATTTAAGTAGCATTTGGTAATATTAATAATGAAATTGACAACTAATTAGTATTATTGTGGATGTTTTAGAAAAACCGTTAAAACAGCTAGTAATGAATATATTTAGACCCAGAGAGTGTCAGAATATCCTGCCTTCTAGTTGAAATCCTTGATGAACCTAGCATAAAAGTCCAGAAGAAAATGTGTGCCCCATCACTCCAGTTCCGGGGGGAGGGGGCAAAACAAATCTCTCCCCTGACTCTCATCCTGCTAACCAAATGTTCTCATCTATCGACTGGTTGGGTATACACATATATCGTATAGGTGTTTTACGGTATTTTTTACGCCATCATATAGACAAACCTATTGAATTCACGGTGACATACCAGTCATTGTATGTTTTCTATAGATAGGCTGTTCTTACCCTAAATCCTGTATCACACTATCTACAGTCTTTAATAAAACATGAATTTAATACATAGACATGGATAACTAGTCTTTCGTGTTTTCGTCTACCCTGATTGATATGGAAGGAAATGAAATGAAATGGGGTTTAACGTCCTATTGTTCTGCTCCTACTGGACTAATGAAGACGGGTTTACGCCATACAGTGTGCTATGGGGGAAATTTTATTCGGACAGCGGCATTACGACCTACTCATATATATAAATCCGACTGCCAAGGGATCTTTTACGTGTACGCCAATGTGTACACGGGACCTCGGTTTTTATTCCGCTCTGAACTTTCTCGGCCAACGCAGTTATCGAACACTAGCGAGCTAACGCCTTACCCACTGAGCCCCTGTGCCTCCACCCTCTGTGGTATATAGGCTGCTCGAACCATGCATTTTAGTAGAACTGTTTCCAGTGCCACGTACTATTGAATTGTGGGATATTTGGTGCTCCACAAAGTATCACCCAAACATGCGGTCAGTATCTCACATCAATTATTTTCTAATTTATTTTCTTTTATCTAAAATATTGACTTTTTTTATTTACTATAAGTTGAATAATTTGGAAATGTAGTAAATTATGTAGTCCAATATTATGATAAATGTTTCTAACTGAGTTATAATGTTTTAATTTTCCGTCAATAAATGTTTCGAACTCAACTATAATATTTTAATTTGTCGTCATTAATAAATGTTTCGAACGGAGTTATAACTATAATGTTAATAAATGTTCCGAACCTAGTTATAACTATAATGTTAATAAATGTTTCGAACGGAGTTATAATTATATGTTATAATTTGTATTAAATAAAAAAAAGAGTCGATAAGGTATTCCACAAAAATACCAAAATAACGACACGAGAAACCGGTGAACCAGCCGAGTTTGCATTTGTTTGTGTTAGCGTCTGGATAATCGACTATAGCGTGTGAAAGTTTCGTCTCACGGTTTGATCGAAGTGTTGACAATACAAACGACACGGTCAGAGGGGTTGGTAGCTAAAGGTGCACAACTCAAGCTTCTGTTCACTATAGAAAAAAACCTTTGGATTACGTATTATTGCCTAATAATATTACTTACCCAGTGGAGGTCTTTTCGTCTATCTTGGATTTTTAGTTATTTGCAAGCTAATTTTAAGGTAAGGGTTTATAATTCATACACGTCGGTATACAATGTTTTTATACTTCATAAACATAGATTTATACCTTATCAGTTTTATTTCTAAATATATTTTTTAAATGATATGTCTGGTTTGCATTGATTTACATTTATCATCTAAAACTTACTGCTACCCATTCTTGGCTTCAGTAAGAAAGAGAATGGTATTTTTAAAACACGCGGATTGTATTTTCTTTCAATAACACAATGTAACAAATGTCTTTTTATTATACAATTTTTAATAAAAAAAGATTTATATAAAAAGAAGGATAGTCTGTATAGAAATAAGTGACTGTCTAGGTTTACAAGATAATGTGTTTAGGTGTCTATTGTTGATTTAATTAAGTATGACTTTTATGGTTTAAAGATTTGAAAGTTTTACAAAGTAACTTGTATTCCATAATTGTGTCATGTGTTATTGAAATGGGAGTTAGTAAAAGTAAGGAAACACAGTCCCAGACACTGTTTATTATTTTGCTAGCTAAATCTAGCAACAGTCTGGGATTGGATTTCAGAAGCTTAGGCGTACAGGAGTTGCTTTTTGTAGTCAAAAATATATAACGGGTTATTCAGTTTATCAATTAATGACTCTTGGTTGACAACACATTTATATCTAGATCCCATTACTTATTCATAAACCATCCCTTTTAACCCACATATAATATTTACATAATGCAGACAATGCAAACAACCTTCTTTTCATAAAATATATATTAAATGTATCTCAAGTTTACGTTTTATTATATAGCCTACCATGATACACGTGTTTATAGACGGGTTAGAAAATCTCGTTTCCTTTTTGAATTCCTTCTGATAAAGTTATTTATGGATATTCATTCTTAATTTGAATATAATTGATTTCAAAATGTTCCTGTGCATCGATAATAAAAAAGGTAAAGGCATCATTTAGTCATCTTCTCTGTTTGATTCCCTTTCTTTGAAATTCAGAGAGTATCCACGTGGGGTTATGCCAAATGTATTATGGTTTTTGTCAACAGCAAATCTTTGCTGTTTCGTCTTCAAATTATTTAAGTCAAAGATTATGGCCTTTTAACGAAAACTAGAGAAAACGTGCCACATTTTTTTACTTTTATAAAATTCTATTATGGCGTATTATCTAAGAGAACATCGTTATTATATAAGGCAAGGAAGGTGTTGCCTAGTCGCTTGGGTAGAATGCAAAAATCGAGGCCCAATCGTGTGCATAAAATAAATAACAACATTTGAAATTGGATAAAGAGTGGGGGGAACGCCTTTCTGTGTCCAAATCCCCACCCACCGTATCATTGTGCCATAGAACTGCGTGTTAGTATGGAAATGACAGAAGTATTGTGTTGACGAGAGGACTTACTGTACTCATATATAACAATTTCTTTTATTTTGGACACATTTTATAGTTTTAACTTAAGGCAGGTTGTGTATTTTGTGAGAAATTTGTAATGTCCATTCCCAATCTACAGGTTTTGGATAGACGAGAGATTTGTCAAGCAGAGCGACCCTACACAGCACAACGTCCTATATTTGAAATCTCAAGAGCGTACACAGAATGAATGTAGCCAGAGAGAGTAGTGGGGACGAGGAGGGGTGCTGAAAAGTAATATATCTGTTAAGGGAGCAATCAATTAAATTTTCGTTTTGAATCCTCTAAATTTCAGCATTAAAGAAATTCGAATAATCATCTTCTGAAATAATTTAACCTGTAAATGTGTACTGAAAATGACTGACAATTGTAAAGTGATAAGATCTTGTCAGCTTATATATCTTTTAGTATATCTTTTATTGTTTAATCCACACTGACATGTTTCAAGTTCAAAACAACAAGAATAAATCAATAATTCACGAACATCACTCAACCAGAACAGTATATGAGAACAAATTCCCATCTACTTGTATAATGCGTACTTGATGCATCATTTAGGAATTTGACCATAATATTTGGTTTGAAGGTACAATCTCGACTTTCAGACCATACATACTAAAGGGGTAGAGTGGGATGGTATTAAAAACATTATTGATCCAAAAATGATAAAAGCCGACCAAACCCTAGCGGATGGTAAAAACACCCAATCTGTTTCGCCGAGTATTACGAAAGTCACTGCTGATCAGTCTGAAAAACACTATCTAAAGTTCCCATTACTTTCTATTTATTTCATACTACCACCTTGTTTTCTCTTAGATCGTTAGACGTTTGAACATCATCGGGGATCACGGTGGCTAAGTGGGTAAGACGCTTGCTCGCTAGCCTGGACCTCGCGGGTTCAATCCCGGTGTTGGCCGAGAATGTTTATCTGGATTTTCCGGCGGGGTTTCTCCCTGCAGGACGGAGGGCCTGACAAGGACAGCTGTCTAGTCGTTCGGATGGTACGAAAAACCGGGGTCCCGTGTACATATTGCCGTTCACGTACAAGATCCCTTGGCAGGTGGAATTCGATAGGCTGTAGTATATGCCCGTCTTCATTAGCCCAGTCAGAGCAGAACAGTAGGGCGTTAAACCCCATTTCATTTCATTTCTTATGGGACATTAAATGTGATAATTGAGATCGATTTCAACAATTTCTGGACCAAAATGTTTTTTGATAAATACTTTTAATTTTGTATTTGGTCGGCAACTCTATATTTAATCTTTATTATATGCGTTAATTCATTATTTGGGTGTTAATTCCTTATTTGAGTGTTAATTCCTTATTTGAGTGTTAATTCTTTATTTGAGTGTTAAGTCCTTATTTGGCGTTAAGTCCTTATTTTGTCAAATTAAAATAATTAAGTGAGACGAAGAAACCTGTTCAATATTTCAACGATTTCTGACAATAACTTGTAGAATTATTGATCACTGTTATTGACCTCGAGTTGCTGTTATACACCCATATAGTCCTAGAGAATTAGATCCCCAAAATTGACTATAAGGGAATAACCGATCACGGTGTTGACGATGGGCTTTATTCCACTTATAATGAAACTGGGTTTCGCGTGAATGCTAACCTTGTGCAGTCTTTATTGGAATATAACAGAGCTTAATGTTTGCTTCATGGATATTTTGAAAAAACGAGAATATAAAGCAAATTCAAGGACTACGATTTTAAACTTAATATTACATTTATATAAACATATGTACATAATAATGACGAACTAATGTAAATTTAAAATGGTCGGGCATGTAACTGTTAGATTTGAATAACTTTTGACTGTTATACAAGATTTCAGTAAGCGTACATCTCTTCCGTATTACTTTTCCTACGTGTTTTCCCTTTAAACCGAACTTCGTTACGTAATAGAATATTTTTTTTGTGTGATTATCTGCTCTCGCTTAAATCGAATGATACAAGTGGCAATTGAAAATGAGATATTGCCAAGTATTTGAAAATAAGTGGTGCATATCATGAACACACAATTAAACAGGATTGGTATTGGGTAATTTTGAAATTGGTATTGAAAACAGATCTGGTGCAGATACATGTTCTTAAATTGTTCTGGGCAGAATATATATATATACATGAAAGGAGTACCCCATAGCCCATTGTATTAACAGTACAACTAAGCGTTTGAGTCAAAGATATCATCATGCATGAAGAGATTACTTCCAAAACATACTTTAAAATTTACACAAAGCCTTGATCGTTAGTTATATGACAGTATAAATGTTTTAACTGACTGTATCAACAATTAAATGTACCGGAGAATCGAAGCGACCAGAATGACCAAACATCAGTCGTCAATGGCTTATAAGACCAACTGTCTCCGAGACTAAACCTTTTTGCTCAAGAATATTTATTTTAATTTATAGCGTTCCATATTTCCAGCTTTCCATTAGCTGAACTAATTAGCCGATTGGGGCAATATGAAGAAAGAATGAAATTTAAAATTTTCTGAATTGCATATTATTGCATTGAGCAATAATAACACACGATTTAAATTTGACTCATGGTCCGTCTGGCTGCAAGATGTGTTTACTTTAAAAGTTGAGTGACCGGGATCGGGAGCTTTTGGGACATGATTAATCGATAACTTAGATCGGGCGATCAATCTTGACTAACACAAATTTTGTAGATAAATTTGTCTGCTACAGTTCTCCCACCAACCAGAACATATTTAGCATTACAAGCATCGATCTGGTTTCTGGGCTTCGAAGATACTTTATATACATTATTATTATTATTATTATTACAGCATATTTATAGTGCACCCTTTCATATAACATGTTCAGGGGCACTTTACAAAGTGACAATGTAAATCACACATAAACAACAAGATTATGGGCATGTTATCTATCCTTTATTTAACAACATAATGATTTTAGGTTGATTGTGAAACAGAGATATTGAAGGTGGACATACCCCATGCTGTTGGGGCAACTTTTGCCCGGGCAGTGGCGTTATGGCCTACGCTTATTTCGAATTTCAGTTGTCAAGGGATTTGTCACATACAATCCAATGTGTACACGGGGCCTCAATTTTTTTAGTCCTATTCGGACGACTAGACGCACCACAGCCAAGGTCGAGTATTGGAAAATCCAAACCTAATCATTTAAATTGAATGAATCAATCAATGAAATTGGCATTGGGTTTAACGTCCTACTTTTTTGATTCGAGTGGGAAAACGGGTATATGTAATTGAATTCCAAATGTCGAGTGTTCTTTTATGTGCACGCCAATTGTACGAAAAATCGCGTTTTTAGGTTGTGGTCCCTCTAGAGGTCACAATTTTTATCCGATTTTAAAAACCGTTTAAATATATCACCGTTACCCCATAATGATGGTTGAGTTCAAATTTTGTAAAACTCGGATATAAACTGATGGACAAAATGGCCGCTCACTGTACGCAAATAGTGTAATAGTATGTAATACCAAGATTGTGGAGCCTCTAGAGGTCACAATTTTTATCTGATTTTGATGAAACTTAAAATATATTTATATCTCGAAGATCTAGATTCCTGTAGATATTCATGCATATTGGACCGTAACTGATTATGGCCCTTGATTGTAG